TCATTGACAGCTCACAGGGAGGCCCCGCCCGCCGCGCTCACCTCTCCGCTGCACTGTGAAGCTCTCACCAACCCCGTAGTTGTATCTGCAGTAGTTGTCCACTGCGGCCCGCCTGTCCTCCAGGAAGTCCTTCTGGCTGTTCCAGTACTCTGCGTCAGGCCGCCCCAGCTCCGTCACCGCCCGGTACTCCCCCACGTCGCTGTCGAAGCGCACATACTCCTCCTGGTTATAGAAGTATCGGTCCAGGAACCGCACCCGCTCCGTCCCGTTGAAGAAATAACACTCAGACGTAGTCAGGAACAAGAAACGTGCTGTGGGGACACGAACGATCCGGTCACATGGGCGGCCTCAGGGAAAGACACCGACAGCGACGCCGCCATCGGGGCTCCCTGGGTGGGGTGCGGGCTCTGGGAATCTTGACCAGCCCCACCCGCAACCCCGACTACGCGCAGCCCAGGGGCTCATCCTCGGACTTTCTGAGGCGGACGGGGGCTGGGGGGCCAGGCGGGAATACCGCCTCTGATCCCAAGTCTTTTGGCCCCGCCTCCTGCTTCCAGCCTGTTCTGGAGACCTCCAAGCAGGAGCTGGAGGAGGACCCGCCCCACACCGCAGCCCGCGCCGCCTCCTCCTGGGAGCCTCCACCCAAAGACACCCTCTGCCCCTTCTCTCATCCCACACACAGGCTTCACCAGTTCCTTCAATAGCCCACACCATATTCACCCTGTGAACACTTCCTTAGTGACCACCTTGTGCCAAACAAGGAGACTTACATTGTGACTAATATCAAATGTAGAATCACTACGGAAGTCTGAGGCACCTTAGTGAAAAGTAATTGCAGCAGCATCGCTGTTTGTGACTTAGAAGGGGGCAAGTTGTGAAAAGTTAATAGAGACAGTGATGACCGACAACTCATGAAAATGGTGAAAAATACTGCATAAGGCAAAAAATAAACATGAAGGTATTGAACTTGCACTGATAAACGGATTCAACAGGAAAGTGGTTGAATTCATTCAACTGTCTAGTTTTTTATAATGAAACAAGCAAAAATAAACCATAAAGAACTGAATGGGGGCGGTGAATGTATAGAAGATGTGAGTCTAGAATTTTCAGGAAGAGCACAGTGTGAACCAGTGCTCTCAGCCTCAGAACTGTTGACGTTTTGGAACAGATAATTATTTGTTGGTGACGGAGGCTGCTGTGCACACGGCAGGTTCTAAGGCAGTTCCCCTGGTTTCTACTCATTAAATATCGGACGAAACCCCTGTTGTGACAGCAAAAATTGTTCCAAACATTGCCCCACGTTCCCCAAGGATGATGGGAGGGAGGGGATGGATGGGGAACTCTGCCTGGGTAAGAACAATGGGTGTGACCATCTGAAAAAAATCTATGTTGAACAAGCAACTATTATTACAGTTGAGAATTACACTGAAAAATAGCCATTGAAAATCTTGGTCCTACATATAATGAATGATTATAGAATTCTGAACCCAGTACAGTACTATCTCTCCAAAAAATGAACTTGTTGAGAACCAAGATTTATTGATTTCCTTGCCTTACCAATCAGTCATCAAATCTTATCATTTATCTTTCATATCATCTTCTTTCTTAGTTTCTCTGCCACTGGTCCACTAATTATCTGTAGTAATGAATCACAACCACAGCTATTTTATTCTTAATTCCACAACTAACTCATTTATTTCAGTCTCCCAGTCCCAACAATATTAGTAGGATTGAAATTACCAGCCTTGGCCAGAGACAGAATTCTCCTTTTGTAGTCAAGTCCCCTCAGAAAGGGAGAAACCAAGAAAATGACATTCTCACACAGACAGTTTACAAAAAAATGAGCAGGTCCCCAGACTTTGAGTAAGACCTTCTTCACAAAGCTCTCTTTGGCCTTTAGAGATGATGGCAGAGAGGAGTGCACCCTGGATCAAACAATGTGTATGTTTTTATTCTTAAATTATCTAAGCACTTTCTTTACAGAGATAAAGTTAAAAAATAAACATGTGTGAAGCTGCTGTCACTGTGTCTTCCATGGTTAGCCCTGTAATCCATGCTCATGTGTCCCACTTTGGGTTGAGAGATTTGGCCAATAAAACCAAAGGATGCCCAGTGAAATCTGGATTGCCAATAAATTATGGTTGTGTATGTGAAATTCAGATTTAACTAGGAACCTGTATTTTATTTGGCAACCCTAGCCCAATTTGCTAGTGAAACCTCAGAAGAAGGAGTGATTTCCTTGTGTTCTTCATCACATGCCATGATAGACATATAGAACTTTTAAATTGGTAAATGCAACATGAATGAAAATGAAAACGAGCTCAGGTAGAGCTCCCGAAACATATGAACTGAAGTTGGGTGAATCCATTTCTCTCTTTTTCACAAATGTGATGTCTTTTCTCTAACATTTTCATCTTTGTTAAATGTTTATTGGGTGATTGTCTCCTGTACTTTGTGTAACTTCCTTGAGAGTAGGGACCCTCTCTGTCTTCATCAAATAGAATGATTTGAACCTAGAGGGGAGCTTAGTAAATAGTTGCTGCTGAGAAAAATAAGTGTGATTTACATGAATAAACCAGGGATCTGGGAACTGATCACTGTGGGGATCCTGGAGAGCAAGAAGGGGCTGAAGCTCCAGCACCCTTTCATTTTGATGCCACACTGTACTCCTTCTCTTCCCTGTGAGAAATACAGGCAAACTTCTTCTTTCTCCTCTTTCTATTTGGTAGAATTCACAGATAGAGAAACAGTGATTTAAAAAAAAAGATTATTTTTTTTTTCGAGATGGTGTCTTACTCTGTTGCCAGAATGTAGTGCAGTGGCGCAATCTTGGCTCACTGCAACATCCGTCTCCTGGGTTCAAGTGATTCTCCTGACTGTAGGATTCCTCCTACAGTCTCCCGAGTAGCTGGGATTACAGGCACAGGCCACCATGCCCAGCTAATTTATGTGATTTTAATAGAGACGAATTCACCGTGTTAGCCATGATGGTCTTGATCTCTTGACCTCATGATCTGCCTGTCTTGGCTTCCCAAAGTTCTGGGATTACAGGTGTGAGTCATTGTGCCCAGTCTAAAATTTTGTGGTTAAGATTCATCTCTTTTTGCTTGGGCGTGGTGGCTCACACCTATAATCCTAGGACATTGGGAGTCCAAGGCAGGAGGATTGAGTGAGTCCAGGAGCTTAAGGCCAGCCTGGACAACATGGCAAAATCTGGTGTTTATGAAAATTACAAAAATGAGCTGGGCATGGTTGCCTACCTGTAGTCTTTGCTATTCTGGAGGCTGAGGAAGGAGGATCACTTAAGCCTTAAATGCAGAGGTTGCAGTGAGCCTAGATCGCACAAATGCACTACAGCCTGGGTGATGGAGCTAGGCCCTGTCTCAAAAAAAAACAAAAAAACATCTCTTTCAATGGATCTCATAATGATTAGGGTCTGTGCCACCTCAAGAGATTTCTGGAAATGATGGCAACATATCTGGGGAAAAAATAGAAACTGGAGGAAGAGGTAAGCAGACATGGCTAATTAAGGAAAGCTGAGGGCTGATGGGTGAACCTATGAAATTAAGGACAAGACCCCAGTAAGACAATGAGTTCCTGGGACTTGCTTATTGACTTTCAGCCCTATTGAGATGTGAACAATGTCCCCATTCTCTCTATAAGCCCACACATTATGAAATTTCTGATATTTGACAATTTTTGACTTACAAAAATAGTTTCATATTATTTATCCTACGTTAGTTGAGTCTCTTCTTGTCATGTCTAGTTAGAGCATGTACGAGATGTAGGAGAAATTAGTATAGAAAGCTTAAAAAGATTCATAATAAACTAACCTGGGTCAGGTTTTCAGAGGATGCCTTAAGTTCTTTAGGCACCAAAGAATGCCTCATAAATGCTCTTTATCTGTAGCGTGACTCCAAGTACTAAAGATCTCAGCTTCAGCTCCTCAGATGTTTCCCCATAAGAAAGTAAGTGCACTAAGTATCGCTTTTGTCAGATAACCTATGTACACTCCAGGGATACAGGATTTATAAACATTGGAGTTCAGAAAGAAAAGAAAGGAGATACTGGGGAGGTCCCCCGGTACATCCTCACATGTGAGGAAGAGGGGTCAACACCAAAGGTCCTGTGGAGGATGTAACACAGGATCGTCTAGGACAGACCCCTTGAATTTCCTTGACTCCCACAAAATGTTCAAAAAAAAAAAAAAAAAACAAAACCTCCTTTTGTCTCACATAAATCAACATAATAAAGGGCAGTGCTGTATGGGAAATTTATTTTAACATCCTTATTTCTAAATCCTCCAAAAACCACGAGGAAATGTGATGCAAATATTTTCTTGGGGAAATTTAAGAACAAATGGCCTGTCATGGAGAAAGCAAGTAGCTTAGCTCCTATTGTGGAGGAAATAATTTGGGATCCAATGATAAAGATGGGCAATCTCTGAAGAAAACATCACAAATTGTTAAGGGACATGGCCTGGGCACAATATTAACAAAACTCCCTATTTTCCCTACCCCATAGTAGCTCAGTACCCACAATGTGCACTTACGTCGGGTGTCCCCAGCCAAAGCCAGTGGGGAGTTCAACACCATCAGTGTCACTGTCAGCGCTGCCATGCAGGAGCCTCCAGGGAGCCTCAGACACACCATGCTGGACAACAGGACAGGAGCAGGGGACAGAGCACCAGGGAAATCTCACTCAGGGAGAAATATGACCCCACATCTCCAATTATAGAGAGGCAGCTACTGATTTTCTTGTTCCTGGATTGGGTAATCTCATGTTGGAGAACCAATCAGCATCTGAGATCAATAGCATCATCAGTTTCTATTCAGAGATGCTGTATGAAGGTCCTCTTCTGAAACAGAATTTCCTTCTCTAATTAATTGTTTTAATTTAGTACTTGAAAGGTTTGATCCAGTTGCATGTAAAACACTTTAATTGGGACCCTATTGTGAACTAGCTCTGTGCTGGTAAGTGATGTGTTGACAAGTTTGAGCTTTGTAAGAGCATTCATTTCTCACTTGATGAGAGAACTGCTTCCAGGAGTGAGTGTGTGAGTTTTAGGAATAAAAGTGATGGAGTGAACATGGTTGCAAATCAGGAGAGCTTTAATCTGGCTCTTATTGCACCACATCTGAATGTTGTAGATTTGGGAAAATTACTTCCTGCCTCACAGTTGAAATGAAGGCACTGTGATTCATGTCTTCAATACTGGAAAATGCTGTGATCCTGTGGATGCCTCAAGGAGCAGCAGCCCTGGGTATCTGATGATCTGACAGAATGACAGCTGTTGACCAGAGAGTTTAATCTGTGCCTATTTCCAGGTAGCGATGTCTTTAAAAAGTTGAAGGAAATGGCAAGTTTTTTAATAATATAATATGAGTCAAAGGATTTTATCAAGTGTGTCTCCTGATGCTGCTCCCAAGTTTAGTGGCACCTCCAGAACACACAGAGGCAAGGGGCTTGCAGGGGCACCTATGTGCAATGGATGGTCTGAAGGTGCCTTTGTACAGCACTTACCCTAACAATGTAATAAGGTCAACTGGGCAATCAAAGTATTCAGGAGTTCGAGGGATTGATCAAGGACTCAAAGTCAGCTGTTGACAGAACAACTCTGTGTTAAAATAAGTAATATTTCATGTGAAGATTGTTGAATCTCCCATTCCTGGTTTTCATTATGACTTCCTCATTTGGAATAGGCTATGACCCTTTATCCTTATGCTTCTCCTGTTTATCATAAGGGAAGTTATAAGAAGACTTTGCTAACGAATACTTCACAGAATGTTCAGGAAAGAGAACCTTAAGGAAAAACTATGAATTACATCATTGATGTAATCATATAATTTTAAACATATAATTCTACATTTATGTAATTATTAGCTTTATGGTAATATAAATGTGACATCTATGATTCAGAATGGACTTCCAAGTACAACGGTACATATAAAGTTCTGCATGAATCCACACTCTCCCACAATTCTGTTAGGAACTCATTCCTTATGTGCCTTAGTGTTTCCAGGGGCAGGATTCTCACCATGCTGCAATAAACATGAACATTTTTCTCTGTACTCAGAATTGCACTAAGGGCTTCTATAATTCATATTTTTATTTAATTCTCACCTCAGCTCAGTAAAATAAACATCCTTTTCATGCTTACATGTGGAGAGGATAAAACAATGGAGACAAAACAACTTTTGCAAAAATACAAAGCTAGTAAATGGTACACTGTAGATTGAACCAAATGATATACTTCGCAAGGTCAGCCACTATACCATGCTCCTACACATTCTATTTCTGAAAGTAATGTCCCTTGGGTTAAAATTATGTATATTTGTATAATTTATGGATGTGCATAGCAGTAAGACTACTTCTTTTCATAAAAGGTGGCATTAAACAATTTGAGAAAGATACTGTGTAACAATTCTAGTTCCTTCAAAGGATTCCCCTCATCACCATCCTTTCCCTCCTCTGGAAATGACAACATTTGCATTTATCTTATGTGATGACACCCATAGCTCCTGAGAAGTCTCCTTCTTATTAGAGGTAACAGTGACCTCAAAATTTCTAAATACAAACTATAGCTCAGAAGTATTATTGAAGATTTCTCATCATAAAGTAGTCAGTTTGATCATCGCGAAATTGAAGAAGAAAAGTGCCTCATTTACTTTGGAAAAAACACAATTATATTAATCCAGAATGTTCAAAATTTCAGCCGAGCACAGTGGCTAATGTTTGTAATCCCAGAAGTTTGTGAGGCAGTGTTGGGTGGATCACTTGAGGTCAGAAGTTCGAGACCAGCCTGACCAACATGGAGAAACCCCATCTCTACTAAATATACAAAATTATCTGAGGATGGTGGTACTCACCTGTAATCCCAGCTACTTGGGTTGCTGAGGCAGGAGAATCACTTGAACCTGGAAGACAGAGATTGTGGTGAGAAGAGATCTCAGCATTGCACTTCAGCCTGGGCAACATGAGAAAAACTCTGTCTCAAAACAAAACAACAAAAACAAAAGTTTAAAATCTCCTGGGTAAAAGTCAGTATTGTTCCTGGATTTGAGAACAAACAATGTCTCTACCCCAATAATAATTCAATACTATTGAAAGTTGTGCAATGCAACCAGAATATCACATTTAATTTGGTGAACTGAAAATGATAATTTACTTAGAAACTAATTTATTTCCAGTTACTTGGAAGGGGAAAGATTGCTTGAACCTGGAAGTGCCAGGCTGCAGTGAACCAAGATCATGCCACTTAATCCTAGCCTGAATGACAGAGGGAGATTCTA